GATGGGCAGCCGCGTGCTCCAAAAAGCCGCAGCAAACGCTGAAGCAAGCCGAAGCAGACACCGAGCCAAGCTGGGCAAGCTGAAGCAACACAGAGAACCACCGCAAATGAAAGACAAAAGTTAAAGTAGACCCGCGGGGAATCTACCCACTCGCTCGCCGCGCCCACCTCCGTTTCCGGTGTAAAGATAAAGTCAATAAGACCGAAGAGGATGGGAAGTGTAGGTGGCTGGCGCGAAAGTCACTCAACACGCGCACACATGACTCAACACATCTCGCTAGGTAGGCTCCCGCGCACGCGGGAGCGCCATAGAGGCCACATTAAAAAGGAGCCATTGCAACCTGATTCTCACTCTTCCACCTGGTCGCATACGCACACACAAACACACGCGCACTAGAGGAGCAGCGACGTAGGTGGCCCTAGTTTTCCCGTCAGTTGGCAAACACTCCAAGCTACGGCTTTTAGTGCACCGTGCTGGATTCAAGCGCATCTGAGTTATTATAGTGAGAAGAGCATTTCGCTGAGGGTCGAACTCACACTCTCGCCCACCGTCTAACGGCCACCTAGCTACTCGGACACCTGAGGTGGGGCCTGAAGCCCAGAAGGAGCGTGAACGCTTGCACCAACAGGGAATCAGAACTGTGAGAAAGCGTCAGCGCCTACCAGGCCGTAGGGACTGTGGTTTGCCGAAGTCTGGCATTGCATGTGCATGCGGACGTTGGATCTCAGAACACATAATACACACACGCACACAGAACGAGAGATATTGCAGTATAGTTTTCTACAATCCTAATCCGAAAACTACAAAGAGCCTACTACACCTTGTGTCGATCTGCCAGGACACGCTTTTTTTTTCTAAACCGCGTCCTTATAGAGCATTTTTCGAGCTACTTTTGCACATATGAAGTAGTCCAGGAGTGTGGTTGGAGTAGACTCCTTACTGTGATGTCCCTATACGTCCTAACTGAAACGGAATCGGTTAGATAACTTTGCTCACGTAAGTGTAAAAGCAACACCTAATTTATTCATCGCTACTACAAAATTACAGCTTCTTATCTAGTGTTAGCTTAAAGCATCCCCACCCCCAATTAGCAAATGTATAGCGGTGGGTTGAGTTAATAAGAAAGACTTCTTGCCGCTGCGATATTCATGCTCCGGTTCCGTGAAGGAAAAGACAAAGTCCGACGCCAGGTTGCAGGAATAGTGAACTCTGTACAGAGACGGTTCAGAATGTGTAGGAGAAAATTGACTGTCAGACAAGCATGCGTCCGCATCCGAGCGGAACAGTGTCGGAAATGTATGAGCGTGGCAGTCACCGCAGAGTCAACAGCGCGTTCTTTATGTGAGTCAGTCCTGAAGGTGATTGGCCAGATGGAATGGGGCGCACTTTGCAGCACCTGTGATTGGCTGCCCCAGAGGTGGGCCGAAACTTGCACTCAGGTGACCTCCTGCGTGGCGTAGCACGTAAGCTGGAAGGCACCAAGGGGTCACTTCAAATTCTGTTCCAGTTCATCGAAAAGCCTCTCAACTACTTCCTTCAGCTTCCTATTTATGTGAGAAAAAGTCTCACTGCAGGATTTGTTTTGCCGTTGCAGAGGCTGGCCTCCCGATTCTGCGGATTCTTATTGGCGGAGAACTGAAAGACCTCGTGCGGGTTTTGACGGGCTTGAAGAGCGGCTTTCCACTTCTCATATGCGCAGGAACTGACGGCCTAGCTGACCTCCTAGTACAAGCACTAAGTTATGTCACTGAAACGCCTGGGTAAGTTTGCACAGCCTTCTGCTTTATTTATTTAATGTATATATTGATACCTGTGCTGTTACTTCCCCAAAATGCTCCAGTCACATCAGGACGCCGGCTTTCGAGAGACAACTTACTGACTGCCTAAGACAACTCGGAATAAAATGATCACATATATAGTTTGTCTGTAGGATCTGAGCATTGGTTGTGCTGTGACTATTACAATCATGATCTTGAATCCGGGTTTTCGAAGAAGGCATAATGCTCTAGAACTGGGGTCGGCAACCTTTTTGACTCGGAGAGCCAAGAAAGCAAATATTCGGAAACATATTTCAGCAAGAGCTATGTAATATATTGTAAGGGTAAATTAAAAAAGATGTGAGTATAATAAGCCCCTGGATTTATTCTTTTAAATAATTTTGTTATAATAGTTATTGTTAATGCGACTTTTGGTGCTGCTTGAATCTGTTGATGGCTTTGTCGTCTGGTTAGCATTTGGTTAGGTTAAGCGGCAGGAGTTTCCTTGGTAGTGGTCTCGGATACAGCAAGCCGTAGGTTT